ATCCAGTCCCTTCTCGTCAGTCAGGGCAATAGCCACATCCCCTACAGAGAGATGAGGATAAAATTTAAGAAGACTGAGACTAATATTCTGCTTTTTATTGCAAGGAATTATTATTATAACAGGCATTTCTTACTATTCAAAACCAACAATCAGATCAAAATCAGATCAAAACCAGGGCTTATTTCATAAAACAACCCAAGTCAACAACTGGTATTAGATGTCTTCTGATCATTTTGAGACTACTAAGTTTGTGTTTCTCAATGAATTTTTTTTTTTTTTTTTTCAATTCTTATCTTATGAACACAGGGAAAATGTGACAAAAAGCACAGGAAATCTAATCAAGCATCTACAAAATGTTCCTGCAACACTGTGAAATGAAAAAAGTCACTGTCTGTCACACCAAAACTATCAGTATTGGTCATCATGGTAGCTTTACCTGGTCCAGCTTCCTTGCAGTCCACAATGAAGTGGGTCTTCTCAAAGGTCTTGACCCCCTTGGACACACCAGGTCCATATACCTTCACCTTGGATGGGTTGCTGGGCTCCTTCACATAGACCTGAAGGAGATCAAAAAAATATGAGGTAAAATCTGCATTTGATCACCATGAGGTCAAAAATTGTTTAAAAAATATCCAATTTAGAACACAAATGTCACAAAGATAAATATATAGCACATGGATCTTTATTTGGTCTAAGAATTTGAAATTCATAACCTTATATAGTAAATGTTAAAAAAAAAACATGAAGAAGCCCAATTCTAAATAATATCTTACCCTGTATGGGCTGTTAGGAATATTACATCCACCAAACACAACAAAGATGGTATGTTTGACAAACTTCTTGGGCATGTATCTGCAGCTGTAGGTTCCGTCCTTGTTATCCACCACCTGCACCTCCACCTCTTTGTAGTCCTTGTCGTAGCACGTAATCTTGAGAGGAGCACGACCAGCCTTGCGTGTGTCCACTGTGAACTCAGCCCATGAGTTGGCGACCACGCCGTCTTTCTCCAGACCTGGACCATAGGCTGTGACCTGAAGCAGAAATTGTTTTTAAAATATTAAGTTACTGGAGAACTGCTCAACTATTTTGTATTATGTATTTATTTGTAATTTATTTCATTACTGAGACAATCAGTCAAATGTGTTATGTGCAGTATTTCTATGTAATTTTACAATATTTAGTGTTGAAGCTGAAACATGCCTTATTTAGGTTTGAAGGGGTAAAGTAGCTGTAGAAAATCGTTGTTATTAAGGGATTTATTGACCAAGTACAAAATCCAATGCCATTTTTAAGTTCATTTATCAGAAGAAAAGAGCAATCTAGTTCTCTGTGGCACTGCAGGCAATGTCACTGGTAGCAAGAAGAAAAATATGTCAACTGAGCAATGGTATAGAGAACTGTGTCATTGGAGACAATGGTATACAGATTCATATCATTAGACACTACAGTAAATAGAAATATGTCATTAGAGGCAATGGTATAGAAAACTCTGTCATTTGAGACAATGGCATAGAGAACTATGTCATCAGATACAATGGTAAATGCAACTGCCATTTGAGTCACAGGTATAGAAAATTATGCCATTAGAGACAATGGCATAGAGCTACCCCTTACCTTGGAAGCATCATACAGATCTGTCTGTGGCTGTATCTGGGCCATGTAGGGGGAGTTAGGGATATCCTCCTCATCACAAAGAATATGGACAGCATACTCTCCTGGAGCTGTGGGCCAGTAGGTCACATCAGCGGAGCCGTCTCCATTGTCCTTACAGTCTATCTTGGCCTGGGATGGGCCTTCAATTGAGAAACCTGGAAAGCAGAATTGGTAAACGCATTGAGGACATGTCAGTGATTAAAGAGTGGACAGTTATCTTAGAACGTCATATAAGTCAAGGCTTCTTAACTGTTAATGCATTTAATCTAGGTCCGAGATGGGCCTTCAACTGAGCAGGCAATAATAAAATAAGATTTTTAGGACATTTTCAATAGTCACTATCACAAACATGCAATAAAGTAATTAACAAGCTGGGAGCAAAATCTTTTTTCTACTTTGCACTACTTCTTACATTTAAGTGGACTGTCCCAGATGAAAGACACAATCAAAGATACTGCATGATCTATTGCAGATCACCTTTATCCATTTTTCATCTATGCAGGCTTGACACGTTACAGTCTGATATAGATAGAGAGCCAGCCTTCATATAATATATTACCTAGAGCACCAGTTTCTCCATTGGTCTCAACAACAAAGTCTGCAGGCATGCCACAAGTGCCGCCCTCTAGACCTGGTCCATAGGCACGGATGTTGCTCTTCTTCAATGGACCGACTTCAACCTGATCAAAATGGCGAATGTGAATCCATTAATTAAATGATTAACACAAAACAAAGGATGAAAATACATGATGAAGTTTCGATAATTTTGTAAAAATTGGGTTCCTTTAGTTTACAGATAGTCTTTGGGCAAAAAGGTTGCTTAGTGGTCATGATTCAAACTTATCAAATTTTACAATTTACTTCAAGAAAAAAAATTGTAAAATCAAACAAACTATTTTTTCTCAAAAATTAAGCAAATTCTTCAAATCATCTTGCAAATAATCAAATCTACCACAAACTGCTCTCCATACCTTGAATGGACTCTTAGAAATGTGCTGTCCACTGAACGTAATGTTGACCACATAGATTCCAATCTTCTGTGGAATATACACACACTCGTATGTGTTGTCATCTAACTTCTTCACTTTGCATGGCTCATCAATACCACCTGAAATGCACAGAGGGCACATGTTATCTTTCATTCAAAGACAATTGTATTCATGCTAAATCAAGACGGTTCTGTCAGTGCCAACTCAAATATACAGGGATCTTAGAACTGCAGGCCCCAGTTTCACAAAAAAACTGAAGTCAGTTCCCTGGCTTAGTTGACTTGGATTTCCATGAAAGTTCTGTAGCACTGTTCCTGATAGGGTAAAATGTGTGCATGTTACCATGTAATGTAAGCAATTAAGTTCTTTGCCAGGAACTTGACAGAATTTTTTTTTTTTAATTATTATTTTTTTGGACAGGACCATGACTAAAATCACACAATGAATTAGGATAGTAACATTCCTGAAATATCTTTTTACCATTCTTCAATATTCAATAATATACAGAAAAAATTAAAAAAAAGAAACACTTACCTGGTCCTACGACCTGTACTTTAAGCTCTCCCTTTCCAGCATCCTTGGTGTGTACCTTGAAATCAGCATGGTCCTTGACACGGACACCCTTGGGCTGGATACCACGTCCTGTGGCATAGCATTTCTTGGGCTCCACAGCTGGAATATGGAAGGTTAATATGTACATAAAAGATATATATATCTTTTCTTTATGAGTATCAATTAATAAATAAAAAAGAATGTAACTTATCACCCTGATTCTAAAAAATGTGTAAAATTGAAATAATTAATAAATAAATCTAAAAATAATAATAATAAAAGTGTGATAACAGCATACTAAAACTAGTAGCAATAAAAACTAAATATCTGCATATCTCTTCCTAAATGTCTTGGTGGTTCCTTTTCACTTCTTACAAATAAATAATATGCAACATTACTCTAATTTATGCACTTTTCTTACAAACGATAATTCATTCTTCAAGCCTTATATATCCAACACCGTGGACACAAGACAAAAATGTATTATAATAATTGCTATCTAGGGTTTCTGCAATCACTGGGCAATCAAAACTAAAATATTTATATCACAAAATCAAGCATTCACAGGCAATTTCAAATTTTCCACAAGGGGGTATGATCAAATCAAAAATCTATTTTAAAAAACTAGATGCTATAATTTGATGTTTAATTTAGATCAATGTACAATCAAGGTTTTTATGTTTCAAAGGTCTAAAAGATCAACAAATGATAATCCACAAATGATACACAGATATGTATAATTTTATATATTTATAACGATCACAAAAAAATATGCCATTAACAATGCTTTTACAATCATAATACTATTGTTATCATCAATATTCTTATATCACATTAATGGTTAATTAGGTTAAATTGTCAAAATCTAAAGCAAACAATTTTCATACACTATCTGTTCATTTGTTGGGTTACAGAACTTCCACATTGCACTTTTCTCACACATCTAAGTTAAATGAATCATTAATAATCAACTAAGTGAACAGTTCAATATGATGTATTAAGTTTTTGATCGCTATAAGTGGTATGTGTTCAAATGAAAAATATTAGGAAAAAAATGTTCCACAGAAAAAATGGATTTTTGTTCCTGTTTTGGTGAGAAAATATCCACCAATGAATACTACAGTCACAATGGATGATCATTACTGATTTTATGATTCCAAAAAGGTTTTAATTAGGCAAAATGTCTCAAAGATAAAGGATTGCAATCTACTTTTCATTTTGGAATAAAATGTCCACAAAAAAGTGGAAGTTTATTATTTCAAATCTTATTTCCCAAATCTAATACAGGAAAAGACATGGCATGTCCATTCTAAAAAAAATGCACGTTCAATCAAGGTTCGTGTCACACACTCATGCAGGTATGGCAAAATACTATTTATCTCAAATTTGTTTTGGGTTAGATTAGAAAATCACTATCATGGCTTTGGGCTCATTTTTATCTCATTCAAAAATAGGTGAAGATTCAAATTAACAACAAAAAATTAATCTAATGAAGAAAGGAAGCATGAAATCATGAAACAAGGGGTTATTTACACAGGGGTGAAGATTTGAATTTATGGAAGATGAATTTAAAAGAGAGAGAAAAACATTAAATCATGAATAATGTAATCATGGAAATTGTACAGAGGGTTTGATTAAAAGATAGATTGATTAATCACATTATAACAGTACAACTACGAACAAAAATCGATTATTTTATCAACTGGACTATATCTTTCTTAGTCAAGCATTGCTTCACAATTCACTGGCAGGATACAATTTGTGAAGCACTGCCTGAAAAATCTAAAGACAAGTTGAAATTCAGGACAAAATATATGTAGGAAAATAGGTTGAATATGTCAAAAAAGCACTGAAAATTGGTGCATCAGCTATGTCAACTGTGAAGTGAATTTAAAATGGAAAGCTGGTGATATTTTATAGGTCATAAAGGCAACCTTATATGTATATATACTACCTGGAGGAGCTGAGAAATAAAAATAAGATTTTTTTTCAAAATGATTTCAACATAAACAAGACGAAATACAAAAGGTGTCCCACAAAACAAGCTAAAACAATAAACACAACAAACAACAAATAAGAGTGATATTTAAATCGGTTTCCAAAACATTAATATTCAATAATGCTGGTCAAATCCAAATAAGTGTCTCTATGCAAAATTGTATGCAATAGCAATTACTTTTAAAACATACTACAAAACATACTAGAGGTAATGAAATTTAAGTTTATGAACGGGATTGTCACAAATTTAGTAAACAATACTGTTAGAAATGCATAAAAATTCAAATGGACAGCACTATAGGCAATTCTTACTACAAGCCAATATCATCAATAAAAGTATGTCAACATAATTGTCAGTTCAGATGAAAATAATTAGGTCAGTCTGACCCAATTATAATTGCAATTGGGTTTTTGTAACCTAGTTACTGAAATAAATAAGTCAATAATGACCACTTGACAAAAATATCACACACCTGTACAAGTGCACATAATACCATCCAAAAAACATTCTATGTGGTCTTCACTGATCCAATCCTCTATTTGCTTTTGTTGTTTTAAGTCAGTCAGCAATATACTGGGATCAATTTTTTCATCAAGATTCAAATATATACATCCATTTTGTGCATTCATTACATAAGAGTATACAATCCCAACATGTACGTGTACTACGGTGAAAACTGTCAAGTGATCAATCAATGACCTTGATAACAAATTAATTAGGTCAGCGTGACCTAGTTACCAAAGGAGGTGGCCTTGCTCCATTTTCTACATTTTTAAAAACACTTACGTGGTGCCACATTGACAGTGAATGGGCTCTTGGGAATGGGCTTGCCAGCAAACAACACATTGACAGTGTGGACTCCTGACTCCTTGGGTGTGTACTCCACATAGAATGTCTCCTCAGTTTTGGCAGTGATGCTTGGTTTCACAGTGTCCTTGTGACCATGTGGGTCAACAATGCTGACCTCTACATTGCCCTTGCCTGCACCTAGTGGCACACAGGAAAATTCATTACAAATTGAAATCAAAATCTCAAATGAGAATTATGAAGCAAGATAAAAAATATTATGAATTTATCAAAAATAGTAGGTGTAATTCTAATTGGGCTAATCAGAGTTTGAAAGTAGAGCACAATATCATACAAATGAAAAAAAAGTACTACTTTGTAAAAGATCAGACATATTGTTCTTTAAACATAAGTCATACAAACCAAGTGATAAATAAAGATACCTTTAGTGAAGACCTCAAAGAATGTTTTCCTGGTTGCCATGACACCAGTTTTCTCCAGACCTGGACCTGCGGCGGAGCATTTACTGGCATCGCCTGCAGCACCCTCTACAGACACCTCGAATGGAGACTTGGGGATCTCTTTTGATGCAAATTTGACGATCACCTGAAACACAATAAATCTTACAATGAATCACTATAAGCAATAGAAAGGTACAATTTCAATTGTGACACTTCTTATCCAATTACGGGATTGATATTTTGTTTTGGAAGTGTAAAGAAGTATACATCACTTTGTAGTATATTTTTGTTAATAAGAAATAAAATGTTACTTCAACATTCAAATAGGACTAATTCATGTAACATGACAGAACTATTTAACATCGATTTTCAACTACGAATATTTGTATAAAGTCATATAAAAACTCATCTTACAATAAAAATAAATTTCTCAATGAATAAAAATGAGATTTCTATGTAGCTAACTAACTGGTGATGCACTTGTGTAGAAACATTTATATTTGTACGACTTTTTGTTCTATATACAAAACAGCAGATACAGTTAATGGCAACATTCTACAGGGCAAACACCACCATTAAAAGAATTTTGTCAATACTATTCTGTGAGGGGGAAAAAGACCAAACCATCTATTGAGTTTTGCAACAAGTCTGTAGTTTTCTAGTTATATCATTGCCAGTTCTACTAACTCTGTATTTGCCCTCCATGGTAGGTGTGTAGCAGCAGGAGTAGGTCAGGTTACGGTCATTGTTGAAGACAACTTCACACTGAAATGACAGAAGAAATCCATATCATTTACTTTATTGTTGAGGTATAGCATAATTTAGGACTTGCATCTCTGTTAAATATCACAATAAATCTCAAAAATCAGTTGTGTTTCTAGATGGATGAACTGAAAAGAGAAAAAAAACACCAGTTTGATGACAACTTCATTCATGTTCAACTTTTTTGAAAATCATAATCCACATGAACCTTCAGTCGTAACAAAATTTATACAAAATGATTAAAGGAAACTCCTGGTCTTTTTTGACCACGAACAAAGTTGTCATCATACACATTTTTTATTTCCATACTTCATCCATGTCAGGACCATCAAATATAGAAATAAATGGCAGCAGTGTACTCGACAGTCTACTCAGTCTCTGGCGTCTATCCATCTCTAAGCCTTCCCATGCGAAATTTCTAGGAAATCCTACAAAAAAGTTATGACCCAGAACCACGAAACTCTATCATCTTTTGGTCAGAGAAGATGAGTGGTTTTATCCGCTGTAGCGTATCCAGGTATATAATAGTCCACTTAAGATGAAAGAGCAAACCTTGCAACTAGCCAGCCAGAGCAATGCACATTAATAAAGTCCCTGTTATAATGAATTGTGAAGAACAGCATAATATAAGACACATCTTCAATAATCCAAGTTCCTCACACGGCATATGGAAATGTCACACATACAATGTCATTATTATCCCACTTCAAAAACACCTTCTGAAAAGTATAGTTGGTTGCCAAATGAACAGTGAATGAGTATTTGGATCATATTAATTACATAAGTTATTCCCTGGGCACTAGTAAGACAATCCAGCAAGCAGCAAGGCTCAATAAGCTAGATGGTATATGTACATGTAAGAACTGAGGCTAGACAAGTTTCCTCCAGCATTCAAAGAAATGGCAAGCACAACTACATAGCATTTATGCCAATGCTTTGACACTGCCACTAATTTGATTTGGTCTTAAGACCAACAAATACAATGAACAACTGTCTCTTAATGAAACAGGTACTACAGACCTATAGGCTTGTATGTAGTACATTCATTCACTGTGAGAAAAAAGTATGGTTATTTTTCTTCGTCAGGCCATCACGTAACACAGTGCACTTTAAATTTCGTTTAACAAATCACGAGTGGTAAATGAAGTGCATTCTCTGTCAGGCTAGACATTGACAAATGATGACCTATTTCCAGAAAAGAGTTCTTTCATGATAACGCATATACCAGTTCCTTTCCAATGAAAAAGGTAAAAGCTAGGATGTGCTTGACTATAACTTTATAGGACCATTTGCATGATGGAAGAAAATTATTAAAAACACACAAACAGAATACCTACGAAAAGATCAGGCGACAAGTAGCAGGTATTCTTAAAACAACCACTGCTTTCTGTTCATTTTAAGTGTCATCAGTTAATCCTGCTCAAGGCATGTCAGCCAAAGAAACAATTTTTCTATCACAATATAGCCAGATCACATACTGACATTCAGGTTACTAGGCTTGACAGGGGCAAAAAAAAAGCACTGAAACATTTGTTCCACTGAAACCTGGAAATAATTTGCACCACTGGCTAAATTGTCTCTCTCTGAGCTTACCAGAGAAACTCTGGTGAGAGTTTTTTGTGAGAAAATGCCCTCTCCTCATATTACATGTTTGCTTGTAACTTCAAGGCAAACAGATCCTCAAGAAACAATGGGAGCAAAAGTTTTAACCTTATGGAAAGCAATGCAACAATATAAAGTCACAATGGTGAGAAATACAGAAGTAAAAGTGGACCTTTGAAAAAATGCAAGCATGGAAATGGCTGCAGCATCCAAATTTCCAGATTTCCAAATAAATTCGTAAGACTTTCTTCTCTAGAAGTAAAACATCATGCAGCTGCCAGTTCTGGCAGCTATATTCCATGCAAGCTGATAAAAAACAACACATGGACTGAATGACTACATGCTTTGGACCCTATATGACTGGATACAATCAGTATTCTCATTTATTATGTCAGTGTTTTACTACCTAGAATGAACTGACTCAGATTGTTAAAACTGTGCACTTTGAGATTACACAAATTTAAGTAATGATTTTGTGTTGATATATAAATAAAAGTAGGCAAAACAATATCCTTTTAGAAGGAAAAAATACAAGCATAATTGTTCTCAGCAACAAGGCAGCAAAGCTGTAATAATATGAAATTACAAACATTCCAATATAGTCAGTTTTAGGCTTTTAATATGTCAAAACAAAATAAATAATGTATTCTTAATACCAAGCATGTTCTTTTGCCAGTGCTTTATACTCACAGGTTCTTGAGCACCCTTAGGATTGAGGATGATCACTTCTACAGTGCCTCTGCCAGCACTGAATGTTTCTACTGTGAATCTGGCTGGAGCTCCAACAGAGTTGCCAGTGGGCTCAATACCTTAATTGAAAATGAAAAAAACTTTTTATAACAAAAGTTTTACTGACACAAAACAACTGTTTTACTGACACATTCAAGCGTTATACAGAATGTTAAAAATTTTGTACATTTTCATTTTCTCAGTGAATGAAATTCAAAAACGTGATAGTATCAAACATATCAATAATCTAATATTTCTCATCAATGGAATCCACAATACAATACGGATGCCTTTTTTTCCTGAGTTTTACTTCATTCCATTTTTAATAAAAAAATTTTTTTATAATTTCTTTTATTTCACTAGCTATCCTTTTTATATCATTTTGTTCACATGTCTCACCTGGTCCATAAGCCCTCACTCTGGCTGGGTTAGTTCTTGGTCTCACTGGAGCTCCTGGCTTCAGCTTGGCATTAGGGAACTGAGAGAGGTAGGTCATCATACTGAGATCATCTACCTTAGGGTTACACATCTCAGCTGGCTTGATCAACTGGAATAATAATAATAATAATAATAATAATAATAATAATAATAATAATAATAATAATAATAATAATAATAGGTGGTTTGCTGAAAAGTTTGAAAACATATGTATGAATAATTATGTATATTAACATATACTATAAGTTATACTATAAACTATAACACATACTATATTGTATCAGTGATGATGAGACTGAGTCGGAATTAAACCCTACAAACTGATATGTAATCACACTAATTAAACTTGAACAAAATATGGTTCCTATTGATTTAATATCATCACAAAGATAAAGATGGACGCATTTCTAATGTTGATTTTCTTAAAAGATATAATTATATAAGTTTGCAAAGGGACAAGTTTTGCAATAAATCAAATGTCATAAGCTTGAATCATTGCATTAGTTGTGAAAAACAGGTTGATCTGTGTAATTGTGATAGCTCACTCACAATAAAAAATCAGAAACAGTACGTTTCCACCAGACTACAATATGGTTTATACAATATGTCACAAATATGGCATAATTTATGACATGACTGCCACTATAACAATGAAGCTGCTGCAACACATGCTGAACATGAATGAATGAGAGTATAGGCTGGAAGATGATACGTTTTATTAGTCTATTTCGGACAGAATATCAATTTCATACGTTAATATGCAAGGGGAAGTAATTAATAATCACGGGGGTTTAATGTAGATATTTATTATGATACATAAATCTCAATTAAATAACATATTCATTTTACATTCCAGTCACAGATATCCATCAAGTCCAAATTCAAGTTGAACTATTCAACTTTTCTTAAATAACAGCTGGTGAAATTTAGAAATAATAGGCATGTGAACTCTGGAAAACTGCTTTAACACCATTAAATGCTGGGTATTTAGGAGAAATGGTTTGTTATTTCACCTTCCAATCTGTTATCTCTGTGCGTCCATATTGTGTTTCTGTTGTTTTATTTACTTCAAAAGATTGATCAAATCCTGCTTGGAATATAAAGTCATATTGTGTTGCTTTAGTTTTTTATTTCAAAAGATTGATCAAATCCTTGGAATATATAGTCTGATATGACAATCTCAAAACGATCAACAAATGTTGACTGTTGGTTTTATGTTTCACATAACAATGACATTATTCTTGCAAACAAGTAGACATAGCACTGCTATAGCTCATAAGCTCTGTAGATGGACAAATACATTTTTCTCTCTCAGTCTGGTGTAAAGAGGTACAAAAGAGGTACACCTGTGCCCCTCAGTTCAAATACAGTTCGCCTTAGGTTAATCTTATGTTAGCGTGTACTTATGTTATATCTTCTTCAACCTCTATATTACTTTTATTCAAAACAAGTTACAACAAAAGGAGTCTGCATAGGAGTTCAAAGAAAGGGCAATGATAAGTACCCTTTCTTATACAGAATATTAACAAAAATTCAGGAAGGAGTATGAGATATGTGTGAGACTGCAGTTGTTCTGGGATAAATATATTGGTATTTCTGGTTTCATAATGTTTTCTTTCACTTGGGCTCCTAGTACATGAAGTATTACACCAATAGTTAAATGGTACACCAGCATGAAAAAGAAAAAAATGCTCATGATTTCTGTTTCCTTCTTTAACAGATATAAATGCAATGGCTGCGATGAAAAAGAAGTTAGTAATTGTAGGTGATGATGCTTCTGGTACAACACATCTGCTAAACTTCTTCAGTAAGGATCAATTCCCCGAAGTCTACGAGCATACTGTGTCTGAAAACCATGTAGCTGATATAGAATTAGATGGAAAACAGGTAAGTAGACAAACTGACTAATACAGACACCAGGGTGGGATGCTGCCATTAGCTGGTGACACTAGTTGATTGAGATTTGCTTATTGTTTTACAGGTTGAGTTATCTATTTGTGACACAGCTGGAAAGGAAGACCAACTTCGACAACTCTCATACCCAAACACAGACGTCATTCTGATGTGTTTCTCTATCGTCAGTCCAGACAGTTTACAAAACATCGCTGAGAAGTGGATACCAGAGGTGAAACACTACTGCCCCAACGTCCCAATCGTCCTAGTAGGCAACAAGAAGGATCTACGATGTGATCCCAATATGATAAGAGAATTGGCCAAAATGAATCAGAAGCCTGTGAGTTATGAAGATGGCCAAACAATGGCGTACAAGATAGGTGCTTTTGCATACTTGGAGTGCTCTTCCATGAGTAAAGAGGGAGTCCAAGAAATTTTTGAAATCGCTACAAGGGCTGCTCTTCAAACATAAAAGAAAAAGGGATGTATCAACTTGCGAAGCAGTTGTTATAGCATAAATAACACCATTTCTAGTTTTGACACAACAATGCTAAACATATGGTATATTGTATGGTACGTGGACATATCCTGAGCCATTTGTTGGAGACACCTTTGTGTTGACCAATGTCTATGCATTTGTTCACAATCCATTATACAAAATTTCCCTTTACTCCCATACTTACGCCCTATATCACAATAAAATTTATTTAAAGTTTTTGTGTCCTAGTAATCATTACATTAAATTAAGATAGGCCTACTACAAGCATTATAATGCTTCAAATTCAGTGAGTACATGTACTCTCTCAAGGTATATTGTAATTTTGATGGTAACAAATAAGGGGAATAGATTTCAAGTACTTTTGTAGAATTTATAATATATTTTCTTTTTTATAAATATAACAGCATCTGAGATGCACACTAAATGTATCACTTATAAACTCAACCATTCTGAAAAATCTAAAACCACGTATAGTTTCCATTTCCAAAAGCAATTTAGGGCAGTTATAAAACTACAAGCATATTCCTCTGTATAGCCTAAAGGTATACACTATGTTCCCTTAAGCCATCTGTCCTTAGACTGCCACAATGTGATATTAATATGCAGTGAAGATTATGAGTAACTTAATAATGTAAAGTTCTCATGAGAGTTGATGAACATGGACTGAAGTTCTGAGGACCATCTGTGACAAAATTTGCCTCGGGTTTTACCTTTGAAAGTTTAAGCTAGTATTTGTGGTTTGCCTCAAGTGTTAGTTTGGTTCATTTTGATTTTAACGCAACACCAATCTGATAAATTAATTTTTTTTTTCGTTATTTTTGCTTTTTTCATTATTTGATCAATTTCCCTTTTTAACCCTTCATTTTTACACATCTTGTTCTAATAAAGTCTTCCACAGTTCCCATATCACATTTAATTTGTTTGAAAAGACTTATCAAAATGGTTCCACGTACTTGCTGTAGTCCTTCCAACTACACACATGGGTTATTAAAATTGTCATTAAATTCAATGCTTTATCACTGACATCTTTGAACATTAAGAACTAGTACCATTTTTACAGACTTAAATACTCCAGGTCTGAGTTACATAACTCGCCTTAATCATCCAAACAAATACAAAGATGGCAGACACACCAGCCTCACTTTGACATCTACAGGCAGTTCCAGATGTAAGGTGAAGAGGAAGTCATCTGCTCTGTGATGCAACATTTGATGAACTTCTCATGAGAACCTTAATGCAAACATCTCAGCTATCTTGTTCCTGAGGGGAAAATCTCCAGGTGAATCCTTTACAGCATTAGGTAATATGCTTGCGTCCATGTATAATAGGCATTCTCCCCTTTAGTAATCAATCAGAGACTTTGAGAAAGAACACTTACTGACAGTTTGGAGTGAAATGAAACATCAAGTATACTTTAACATATGCATTTGTTTCAATAACTGAAAATAATAATAAATATTGAAATTAAAAAATCCTTGAAAAATGTAATTACTTATTGCTATCTTTTGAATATTGGCACTAAGGAAATGATTCAAGAAAAAAAATTTAATATGGGATTTTGAATGAATTTTTTTTTTTTTTTTTTTTTTTGTATTAATTGAT